CTGCTGTAGCAGTTCGTCTTGCTTTTCTGATGGCCTGCTCCCCTTCCAGAGACAAGATTACAGGGAAGGCTGCTCATAGTCTACTCACCCACTTCTAGCAACAAGACTGTAGGCACATGGATATTTCTGGAAGTCTTCTCCAGGAGCAGCAAAAGCCATCCATACAACTGACATTCCTGTCATTTCTGGTCTGCCTTGCTGGATTCTCCTTTGTTTCATTGCAAGTCTTGTTTTGAACAGAAGAAATCTCAAGACCCACATTCAATATGCTTTTATCTTAGTTTTTACGAAAATTCAGGGTCTAAATAATGATTGAAAATATTTGTATTTTTAATTTATTATTTTGCATGGACTGGTTTGTACAACAGAGAAATTGGGACGACAGAGGAAGTAGCACTTTGGCTACCGAGTATGTATGAATAGAACTTCTGGGAGCATAACAAAGGCTCTGTTGTGCTCCAGATTTTGAATTACCATCCATTTTTTAGTGGACACAGATTCCCTCCCAACTAGTTTGTTGGGAAGAGACATGGCCTTCAAAAACTAGTTTACTTAAACCCAATCTGTAGCAATGAAAGACAAAGGAACGAAAACAGTACAGGGAGTTTAACATGATAGGATTGTATTAACCATAAACATTTTTCATAACCTGAATTTCCTGATTTAGGGTGTCTAATGTTAAAAATTTGTAACAAACAACTCCAGATTAGCGTAGGACAGAAGTAAATCCAGATATTAAATAATATAAGGCTAGTGGTGGGCATCCATTTCCACAGAGTTTCTCTGACACAGATTCTATTTTCATGGGTCTGAGATCTCTATTTTGTTTGCTTTTTCTTTATCATCCCTTAAAAGGAAAAGGCTCAGGGGAAGGAGGAATAGATGTATAATAGAAACCATATACACAGCTGTGCCACATTACGAAGTCAAATCGCTGCGCTCAAGATTTAAAAAGGAGCATTTGAAGTATTCACAGTAGCAGGATGAAACCAGATTTGTGGGATTGTTGGGAGTAGAAAATCTGGATAATCAGTGGTCTTTGCCTTCTTTTTTTCCCCTTCTTCTTGCAGCGTAGGCCTGCAAGCTTCCCTAAAACCTTGACAGAGATGTCATCTAGTCAACAGCCTTATTTTCACTCCCTTCCTCTGGGACACTACTTGCTGTAACTCTAAGGAAAATAATATACATTTTAGAACCTGCCAAATATTCTAAGCCCCAAATTCTACTTTTTTAAAGTATATAATCTGGTAGGGAGTGTCCTCTGAATCCTAAACAGCTATCTGAAAACAAACATTCCAATGCTGAGAAATTCATCTCAAAAGACACTATTTATATAGGACCTAGGCAAAACAACCCCCTTCTGCTGGCTCAGCAGAAGCAGTCAAGAACCAAAGACTATTCTCAGGACTTTGTGAAAAGGCTTGTGGAAGCATTGTGGATGAAGTAAACAAAAACTCCTAACTACTGCTCTATTAGGAACAATGGGTGTGTATGTCCCTGTTTACCAAATGGAGAAAGGACAAAGACAGAAAATTTTCATTTCTGAGCTGCTAACATGGTGCTACAACACACAGTGAATACAAGGAAAATTATAAAAAAAGGTACTTAACAGCATCTTAAAGCTGGCTGTAAGGGGGCAGAGACTGAAAACATCTAAACTTCAGCAATTGTGACTTACATAGGAACTGAATGATTTCAATGGAACAGTAGAGGGTCATCAAAAGCAAACATAATACATACTATATCGTGCATATGTAATTTCTGATAATGGTACAACTGGTAGCAAATTATTCCACAACCCGCAGACACTTTCCTAATACTGACCAAGGTAATAAGGTTCTCACGAGTACGTGTGAAAAACAAACCCAAACAAGTCATGCCAAATTTACTACCGAGATTACCTCAGAACCATCAGAGTAGCCTTTTGTTGCCCCCTCCAGAAAATGCCAATTTGTTGTAACCAAATGTTCTGCAGAAATGTTTTGGTTTCAACAAACTTCTGTGGAAACACAAAGCAGGGTTCCATCGGAAACCTGGCAGGCTGCTGGGGAGCTCACACTGCCGGGACACACAGCTTCCAGATAGCATTGCCATGCTGACTACCTCAGAGTAAGGAACCGCAAAGCTGCCAGGCTGCCTGGCAGTCCAGCTCTAGCTGGGGGGGCTCCCAGTCTAGGCTCCTTGCTCTGCAGCAGGGTGCCTGGAAGCCCAAGCTCAGGATGGTGCTCTCAGGGCTTCCTTACTCCCTGTCCTATAGCCAAGACTCTCAGGGCTTTCAGGCTCCCTGCTTTCTGCAGGGGAACCCCCCAACTCTGAGGGGCAGCCCGAGGAGTCTTCTAGAGTTGGGAAGCAGCTGGCTGCTCCATTTCATTTAGGAAAAAATCAAACTGAAATGTTTTGATGTTTCTGAAACAAAAACGTTTTGGAATTTCTGTTCCATAGAATATTCTAAGTTTCAACCTGCTCTTCCTCAGAAACATGTTGGTACATCCTACTGCAAACTTGGCTGAAATTTGCAGGAGGATCCAGATGAGATTCAGCATTATGTGTGTCATGTGTTGTACCCACCCCTTAAAACTCCACTGATATCAATGACTCTTTGCAGTCACAGGGTCTGGTTCTGTGCTGTCACATTCACCCATGTTGAGTATTATTTCATACTCTGTGACTAGGCTCCCTGAGATCAGTGAAACTGCTTGTGTAATACAATACATTTTAAGTATGGGTGACTGTATTGGGATGGTCTACTTTTTGTACATATCAATAATTGCACCACCTAAGATCTCTCTGTTACCTTTGACCTAACTAGCTTGGAACAGACTCAAGGGATAATGAGGAAAGGACTAGCAGATCAATCTTGCCAAACTGAGACACTGAACAAGTTCTGTTTATGCCCTACCGTCTACTGTAGGGTACATATAATATACATATATAGAAACCACAACATCCTTCTCTGCACTGAATGTTCACAGCACTAAGGTAGGTACCTAGCTACCCAAGTTGATATCTGCCTGTTGCTTCATGTGGAAAATATGTTAAAATAATGAAAACAGCAATGAACAAAGTATTTTTCTCAAGGATCATCCTTCACTTTTACCATCTTTCCAAAACATTTCGTTCTCGAGATCCTAGCAAGTGGTGTGCTTTTATTTTACCTTAATTAGCACAGCAATTTGCGAAAATTTGTTTTTCCCCTTTCTATAGAGTCTTGGTCAAGTTTAGCAATGAGTAGATTGATATGCTATACAAATTACTGCCACCATCTCCAAATCCTAAATTTTGAATAGCGAGATCTACCTGCACAGCTGAAAAACATGCACCCCTGAAACTCAGTGTTGAACCTCTGTGATCTAATTAAAACTTCGTAAGTGCTATGGAAAGATAATTACTTAAATAAGTATTTTATTTATTTTTTTTTACACTGACAGAGCCTTCCTCAACTCCTAATTATTCCTTTTGAAAGACAGTCCAGACAAAACAGCAAATTATTTCTGAAAAATTATCAATACACCACAGAATGTGTGCTGTCTCCACTGCTTAATTTGTAATGAAAGAGGTGCCAGGGCTCAAGCAATCAGGTGCTGGGGCTCAAACAAATTTTTTACTTTCATAACTGATGAGACAAGCCTGGAGGTGCTGGGGCTATAGACTGCCAAGCCTTGAGGTGACAGGGTTCAGCCCTGGCACAAATTAAGCATTGGATGTCTCAGACTATGACTATGATTTTTGTCATGCACATTTTTAGTCAATTTCATGGCAGTGGTACAGGGAAAAATCCCAGTGACGAAAAGGTCAGAGCCCAAGGTAGTGGTGGGAGAGGAGGAACAAGCCCACTCTGCATTCACCCCGTAACAGTGTTCCGCAGGGCTGAGCCTGGCTTCCTGTTCTGGGTGTTGTGACTTTGGGTGCTAGGTTGCAACAACAATCAAGTTTGGCTCGTACACCCTTCCATCTCCATCTAAGGAGGGGCAGATGTGTCAAACCTAAGTGGTGCTGCAACCACATGGACCAGGACACACACTTGGAGCGGAGAGCCAGGCCCAAAGGAGCTGCCACTGTGGGGGTCTCAAACGTTATTAAAATTCATGATTACCATGAACACTGTGACCTCCATGCCAAAATCATAACCTAAGGCCTTGTCCTCACTTACTGGGGGACTGATAATCAGCAATCAATGCATCAGCGGTCGATTTAGCGGGTCTAGTGAAGACCTGCTAAATCGACCGCAGATCGTTCTCCCGTCGACTCCTGTACTCCACCTGAATGAGAAGTGCAAGGGGTGTCGATGGGAGAGCGTCTTCAGTTGACATCGCATAGTGTGGACCCCGCGATAAGTAGATCTAAGTACGTCAACTTCAGTTACGTTATTCACGTAGCTGAATTTGAGTAACTTAGATCGATCTCCCCCCGCAGTGTAGACAAGGCCTTACAAGCTTGCACTTCTCCTCCTCCTCGTAGTTCTGACCAGAGGTCTCTACTCCGCCCTACCAGCACCGCAGCCACCTCTTCTACACACACCTTGTGCCTGCGGGGATCATGTGTCAGTGGCCCCACAGTCATGCAGAGAGCCCGCTGCAACCCCACTGTCACAGAAGTAAGACGGGGGTCCCAGCGTAGACAAGCACACATGCCGCAGGAGTACTAGGAGGCCGAGTGCTTACGGTACGAGAGGCTTAAAATTCCATCTGTTCTACAAGAAAGCTGTGTCGCGTTTACAGGGAAGTGATGTTATTCAATGTAATTCACCTCGAAGGACAAGGAATCTTCTGCAAGGCAGGTAGATTTTAAGGCTCCTGGACTAGATGTGGCACTAATCACACATTGTGGTAGCTGTACTGCTCTGGGCAACACAAAAAGAGTTCTGATTAGTTCTGACTGAGTTCTCAAACACACAAGCTGGAATTCTTGTCAGCCAATCAGAATGCTACCTCAAAACCAGACAAATAAAGTAGAAATAAAGAAAAAATAAAATGGCTTGAGTTTGTTTTGTTTCTCTTTACCTTGAGCTCATCTGCATCATAGAAGTCTATGCGCACTGCAGGGACCATCCAGGTCTGGAAGAGAGTCGCCAGGATTTGTTTGGCAATAGCATCTGCAATGAGGTGGAAGTGAAGAGGGTTTCGCCTAGTATAAAAAGGGAGAGAAGGAGACATAGAAACCTTTGAACCAAGCTCCAATTATAAACAAAGGACACCGAAATCTACAAAACTTTACCCAACTCTACTAGAGCATAACATACAGCACCTAGCATAATGGAGTCCAGGTCCATGGCTGAGGCTCCTAGGCGCTACCACAATCCACATGCATTAATTAATAATCACAAAAACACAGGATCAGCTTTTCAGCAGAATGTGCATCGGTTTGGTTCTATTTACTTCAATGGAACTATGCTAATTTACATACACCAGATGAAGAGCTGGCCTATAAAGTCCAATTCAGTCTTCTAAAGGATAATAGTCCGCTTTGGGGACCTGAACTGACAAGGTGATTTACCCTTCTGGGTCACCCTGGTGGCCTCTCTGTGTGACGACAATACTTGCCCCTCAGGAAGCAGGTAGAAGAGAGGTTCAAAAATAACCCCCCAAACATGGTGGTGTTCCAGTCCCATTGAGCCTGTACACACACAAAACACACAGGTACGGTGACGCTTGAAAAAAATCATTTTTTTAAAAATTTCAATGGGAAAAAAAAACAAATTTTTATTTTCAACCCTTCCCCCTGATTTTTATCAATGTTAATTTAATGCAAATTTCTTCAGAGTGTCAGGAGCCTGGATGAGCCCCCAACCGCGGGGAAAGCCACCTGGCTTCTGAATGGCTCCTATCAGGGGCTCGCACTCCTCCTCGTAGTTCTGACCAGAGGTCTCTACTCCGCCCTACCAGCACCGCAGCCATCTCTTCTACACACATCTTGCGCCTGCGGGGATCATGTGTCAGTGGCCCCACAGTCATGCAGAGAGCCCTCTGCAACCCCACTGTCACAGAAGTAAGAGCAGGGTCCTGGCCAGCACCGCCTGCTGGTGAGTGAGAGAGCAGATCCGTGGCAGCAGGGCTAAAGAGGGCGCTATGTGCCACAGGGCTGGCAACACCCAATCCCTGCAGGCACAAGGTGGGTCAACAATGGATTGATTTTTTTCATTGATTGCAATGTGTCCACTGAAATCAACGTCGACCAACCTTTATCAATTGAAATTGAATCCTGCCAAACCTAGGTACGGCCTAGTCATCAGTGCTAGGAGAACCTGGAGCTAGCCGTCCCAAGCCAATGCCTCTCAGCTACTGTAACAATGAAAGGCCTCAAGAAATTGATTGGCTGGGTATTGTAAACCCCCTCATGCCCCTACCCCCATAAAGAAGGAAGGGTTGGAGGAAACCAGACACAAAGAGAAAATTCTGTTTAAAAATGTGTCCAACTCAGATTCACACTACGATTCATATGAGCTGGGCTAAATCAAATGCATCCAAACAGGATGAGCGATTAACCAGAGTTAACTGAGTTGAAAGGTTTGATAAAGCTTGCAGAACACTTTCACTGCAATAGGAGCTGTGACATTACCAACTCTTTGGTTAATTCACCTTTCTTTGCTTCCCTCTTTGGGGGAGGGAGAGCAACAGCCTGATCTTTATTCAACTTCCGTGTTAGGAGTATGGAGACCTGTCAGTGAAATTTAGCAATGATTGGTAGTAAGAAGAGGTACTGCATATTTATCCATAGGCTGGCAACTTCGCCATCAACAAAGAGGGATGGGAATTTGTGAAAGCCACTAAGAAGACAGATGGTCCATTTAGCCCTTAGCATCAGCACAACCTTCTTTTGATCCCCTGGGAGGCATAACGGAGTCTCACTTATGTGGAATTTATAAAGGTAAATGGGTGCACTTGTCAAAGGACATTTTTCATCCACAATGGAGGAACGTTTAATTTCAGATGCTGGGGAAGGTGATGGTTGCTACTAAATTCTGCAATGTGAATAAGAACTGGGGGAATCTATGTATATTTAGGACCATGCGTGTTTAAGATGGTCCATTCTACTTTGCTTTGGTTTCACCCAAAAGGTCAAGTGTCTTCTCTTTCCCTATTCTCTGCCCCAGAGAACAAAATGTGCATTTTTTATTGTCATTCCCTTTCTGCTCTAAGGAAGGGCATTCAGTTTTTCCTCAATGAACACAGTCAATCAAAAGAGCGTGAACGTGTTTAAAATGAACAGGATATAAAATGATAGCACATGTTCCAGCAGAAAAATACAATCATAGTAACATTAGCTGTCAGCAACACAGTTTGTTCTGCTTCAGACACAAACTTTCTGCATGTGGGGTTTGAGCCAACACTCACTGAAGTCAGTGGAGTCATTCAGTGGGGATGTGGATCACGCCACCCATTTGAGAAAGAGGTATAAAGACTACAATTAGCAGTAATAACATGTGGATGTACAAGAAGATGGTGGAATAATTTCAGAGCCCTAACCTCACCCAATCTGAATTCAACATCATCAAACAAATTAAACTATAGTGGTCCCCAGTGTAGAGGAATTGAGAGTGTTGTAACCTTTAGCATGCCCTGGGGCAGGGAGAGAATGGAGAAGGAATTCAGTCACTTGCCAGTTGCTGAGTATCCCATTAGCAAACCAACGTGGCAACAGTAACATGTCTAGGTCTGCTTCACTAACCAAGCACGAGAGGAGAAGATGACACCATGGGTCATCTAAATTCCCCAGTAAGAGAAAACAGGTAGTTTGCCAAGAAAATCTGAGAACAGAGATTAAGAAAAGCATTTCATTGGCAGAGAAAAAGCCAGGGGAAAAAAGTACAAAAGCAGTAAATTTGGGAACAGACACACAAATTTGGGAATATGTCAAGGTGTGTTGGTAAGAGTGAAAATTCCATAGGCCCTTCTATCCAGAAGAAGTTGAGGTTGACCTCACTTTGGACATCTAATGTAATGTTTGCAGATATCTCCCAGTTGCTTTTGTTTTGTAGCCTTTCAGGGCCATTAATTCATATAACTCAAATTGGACTGGAAAAGGAGTAAAACTGAGGGGAGAAAAAAGTTTCCCTGTATTTTAAACCATGAGCTAATAAAATAAAGTTATACCAAATACTAATAGATGAAATAAAGCAACAGAAAGGAAAAACATAATTCTTATATAAAGAAATTCATACGTTTAGTGGCATTTCATATTAATTCAAATGACCCAATGTGTATCAAACTTAAATAGAAGTATGTAGGTGACATTTTCTTTAGTTTTGCTCCTCCTGGGAAAAAAGGAGTAGCTGTACTACTCAAAAATCTCTTTCAAGATGTTAGATCATGGTGAAGATTCAGCTGGAGGGAAAGTATGGGTCAGAGGCAAAATAGGGACTTTACAATTATGTTCCGAATACAGATCCCAGTGACCTATTGACAGGTACAACTAAACGGTATACTGGCCAAGGCATGTCTTCGGTGAGGTGATTTAATTATGTAATCTATTAGGCCCGGATCTACTCATAGATTTAGGTGTTGCAATGCCTCACTTTTAGGCACCTAGAAAAATCACAGGAACAACTTCCCCGGCTCTGTGGATTGCGCTGGGGATTAGGCAGAAGATAGGCATCCTGATGCCCACAGTGAGGCAGTCTCACGCATGCCCAGAAGCAGGAGGATAGGCAACTAGGGAACTTTTACTGCAATGCCATAGATGCCAGGTGAGTTTAGGCATTTACAGGATTCAGCAGCCAAGCAAGAGCTGTGCATATTGCAGTGCTACCTATAAAAAAGACGTAGACACCTAAGATCCTTTGTATATAGGGGCCTGAGAGACTAGACCAAACTGTAAATAGTTCATAGCAATGACCAAACCCCACCAAGAATCCCTTAAGACCACAACAACTGAACTGTATCCAATAGATAATAATTGAGCCAGACTTAAAAAGTAATAACCAACCTGAATGTAACAGAACGTTGCTGGAGGTCATTCCATCCAACTTTGAATCTAGTCTTTTTTTCCCCCAACAGTGGCATTAAACTACTGGATGTGGGGGTTTGTGTTGTGCACACATGGACGTTTGTGGAAGGGAGCAGCATCCTGACTCACTCTGAACTCCTTCTGAAACTCTAAGGCTATTGTATTGGCATTACCTGGGGACAGGGCCTTTGACCAGATATGGTGGCTGGACCGTTTCAAGGGCTATAGCAGTGGTTCTCAAACTTTTGTACCGGTGACCCCTTTCACATAACAAGCCTCCAAGTGTGACCCCACTTATAAATTAGAACGCTTTTTTACATATTTAACGCCATTATAAATGCTGGATTTGGGGTGGAGGCTGACAGCTTGCAACCCCCCACATAATAACCTCCCGATCCCCTGAGGGGTCCCAACACCCAGTTTGAGAACCCCTGGTCTATAGGCTATGGGTTTCTGTGGAGTGTTTGTGAAATGGGTTCATAAAGCTCTATGATAAACCCAACTCCACTGTAAGAGTCAATGGTTTGAACTCAGAATCCTTCTCATTACCAGAAGGCATGAAGCAGAGCTGTCCTCTTCCCCCTTTAGTATTTGCCAGTGTCATTGAACTACTAGCTGTAAGAATTGTGAACAACTCCACACAAAGTAAAATTTCATTAGACTCTGATGATGTTTTGATATACCTTTTGGAATCAATGAAATCTATTCCAACACTTAGACTGGTCTTTTTCCAATATGGAGAAACGTTGGGCAAAAAGTATACAAATCTGAAAGAGAGGGTTTCATCTCACTCAGTGGAAAGAGGAATCAGCTGAGAGCTGGCCTTCACATACTTTTGGCAATGTGTGGTTTGGAGGGATGTTTGTGTGTGGGGAGTGGGAGGGGGGCATCCATCTGTCAAAATGAGGCTGATGTGGGGAGGACACTAACAGTGGGCAAGGACGGTGAAGAAGTTTAAGTGGCAGCTGAAAAGGGTGGAAGTTGGGGGTGAGATAGTTATGTGTATGGAAAAACTGGGAAAAATTGTACTCTAATTACAAAGTAATGTGCTTTTGGAAAGTTATTTTGTTATTTTTGTATGTCTGTCTTGTCTTTTAAAATGCAAACTTGTCAGGGCAGAGACTGTCTTCTACTCCATGTTTCTACTCCATGTTTCATGTACCTGGTTGGGGCCTTTAGGC